GACTATGTTACAGTCTCATAATTGCTCCTTGCTCAATAGAATCAATGACTGGACCATCCAAACTCAAGATTAGTGACTGCACTGGCTATTCCTAATTCCACCCATTCTTAATGATGACCTTACCTGAAATGCTTCAGAAATAGTCTCACCATTAACCATCAAGGGACAGATATGCCTTACATCATTTACAGATATTTGTGGTTGGAACATATACCTCTCACCTATAGGCTCCTAGTCAATACCAAGCTGGTATGTTCTAAATGTAAAGGGTACAGTGTATTGGGCATGCTCATGGACCCCTAAACTTGTAATGGTCATCTTCAGATATTTTATTATACCATAAATTTTATTTTTTCTTCTTCATTCTTGTCATTACATCCTTTATGCACTTCTTCAATTTTGTTGTTGTAATTCATCTGTAGATCTGTAACAGATTCATCCATCGATCTTGTCTTCAATCATATTTATTTTTGTTTTTAGTTCTTATTTCAAATATTATGCCTGTTTCTTTTAACTTCTCTTTTAAATTTCTGTCTCTTTCTACTTGGTCTTCTTTAAATTTTATGTCTCATTCTTCCAATTTTTAGTATCTTTGTTCTTGATCTTTTAACTTTCTGTGATGTTCTTTTAATTTTCTGTTTCTTACCTCTTTCGTTTTCTTAATTCTTCTTGTTCTTCTTTTAACCGTTTCAGCGATCACATAACTCTCCGATATCACTTCCTGTCGCCACCTTGAAAACTGTAGTTAACTCGAAGTTTAGTTTCATTTTGATCAAAATAATCCCTCTTCTGATGTCATTATTGTGACATGTTTTATACTTAGGCAGGTTATTTTGGATCATATGGTAAAAATAATGAAATGAAAAGTCCACGTGACGATAACGAATTAATTTATTTCTTCAATAATGTTTGCTGCAGCTAAATTCATTTTTACACAAGTTGTAGGCGTAAGTTCGAAAATAATGTTTTAATCACTGATCTCTATAGTGAACTGGATTGCGCATTGGCTGGTGTCACTGTATTGACATTTTACATCAAGTGGTAGCCATATTGACTGTCTTTAAATTGACAAGTATAACTGCATTAATGCAAGCAAGGATATTTAAGTGATGGTTGAATGCTTTGTAATAATTTCACTCTTTCCATTTTGGTAAGCTCAATTTTTACGTTTTTTTGTCTTTTCACTAAGGAACATTTTAATTTATTTATATATTACTTTTTCACTTTTTATAGTAACTATGGAAAGAAAATGGCTATATAAATTGCGAAAATACTTGCTTGCAGAATTGACTTTGTAAAATAAAGAGAGCAATAACTGAAAATATTGTGTCGGCCTAGAGTGATTTTATTGTAGTCTACTATATTGTCAATTTGACTGATCACGTGACCTTTTTGTACTCGTTTAAAGTATTTATAGATTTAATACTTATATCTCTCAATATAGTTTGTGTGTATATCCTCACGAAATTTGGCAGTCTTTCAGTTAATATTACAATTTTTTCATGTAAAAAAATCATACTTTTTAGTAAAGTATTTTAAATAAAATAAAATAAAAATGTGTGTGTGTGCAAAAATCTCAAATTTCCTTTGTGTAATCCCTAACACCTCCAGAATGCATTTCAAGCGTTTTTTTTCAATAACACTTTATAGTTTATGTGTCATCTTCTCTACCTTATCTCAAAATGGGATCGGTCAATTCGACCGAATTAGTAACCAAAAATAAAATAAATAAATAAAAATCGAAATAAACCTAAATTGCCCTTTTGTCTTTCTAGAGTAACTTCAAATTGTAACATGAAACTACATTCGTTTATCCTAAGTAGCTCTGAGTTCGTAACAGTATACATTTATTTATAATTAAATGTTACTGTTTTACTGCTTTTTGAACTGTTTCTAACTACTATCCGCGCCATTATAAGTTGTAAATCACTCGAAGAATATGGAGCTCACATTACACTATCGAATTATACTACTCACGAGCTGCTCGCGTGCGTGCCTCGCGAACCATTTTAATTATATTATTATTATTATTATTACTTATTTTCCCTAATCTAGTCTTAAATAACTTAAAAAGATCTAGTATTTTTAGATTTTAGGTACTTTTATAATAATAAATAAAGAAAAATATAAAAAACAAGAAATAAAGTACTTACCAAATCTTCCTTTTTCTTGCCCTCGACTATCGAGGACATTTAAACCTGATTTTTTATAGCAATTATAGTAATGCACTTAATAATTTTTATTTCATTAAAAAATGCACCAAAGAATATAGACTAATAACATGCAAAACGTAGACAAATTCTCTTACTTCTCAAATTTGTTCTGGCTTTCTAACTGTGTGACAAGAGCCATTACAAATTCATCCAAGCTAGTTGTTAACTTTCCCATGGGAACGAATCTTGTACTGTGATTAAATTGACGACATTCTGTTCAGAATATGACGTTATACAATACGTCATTTGATAGATGAAAACCTTGACTTTCTATTGGTTATGAGTAATATATAATGAAACGTAAGAGAGAACTATCAAGAATTGTGAAAGAAAGGATGTGACAGATGGGCGTGGCAGGAGGGGTCTGATTTTCTATTCGATAGCACTGTAACCAAACAAAATTAAATACTATAAAAATTATGGTTCGTCTGAGCAATAACGATTTTATAGAGGGTAATTTACGTTTAATTTCGTACTTTTACAAGTTGGTGGTGGATAAAATAGGGATGATGACATGTTAAGAGAAAATGTGTCACGTGGGTCACACTAGTGGAAATTCAGGATTTTTTAAAATATTGTAGAAATTAAGAACTGAAAACCTGTATACTATTAAAATATGGATTATAAGTTTAGATGTTATAATCACTATCTCCACTTTTTAAAGTTTACTTATGTGTAAAATATGTTTCGTATGAGCTTTAGTATGTGGGATATATCATGTATAACACACACACACACACACATATATATATATATTGCATTTTTTATTGCTGTAGTGGAAAAACCATGGCTGAAAGTTTTCTGACGACATATTAGCACCCATTTTGTGTCATCTTTCGTATCTGCATAGACATCAACATAGCCAAGAAATTTCTTTCTATCCCACTCCACCTACTTTCTTGTGGACATTTTATCACGTTAATGATTCCTCCTCTTCCTTTTTTTGCCCCCCACTAATGTTTTGATATCACTCTTGAATAAAAGACTGAACTTGAATAAACTTTGTGAGTCAATTTCCTGTTCCTTTTAATAAGCAATGCCGCTTTAAAGACTTCTAAAAAAGTGTCAGAAAAGGTGCTGTTCAACATATGAAAACTATTGGTGTATATTAAGTTTTCATTTTTCAGAGCTTACACAGTCGCTTTTAATGAAATAAACAGTTCATCTGAAGCGCCTGTTCTTTTGTTGTGAAAACTTTAATTTTTTCTAGCTGTTTAAGATGATTATCTGGTCTGTCCACTTTTTTTATGGTTACAGGACTGTCCCTCACATTGTAGCAGGATTTGGAGTAACATTTTCAGGTGTACTTAAATTATTTCTCATATTCAAAAAAAGGAATAATATTCTACAAAATTGTTACAAGTGGCCGTTCGTCAAGGCCCCCCAGTGGCGCAGCAGTATGTCTGCGGACTTACAACGCTAGAATCCGGTCATCGATACCCGTGGTGGGCAGAGCACAGATAGCCCATTGTCAGTGGAGTAAAAAGAGGCTATGTTTCCTGAAAGATTCCGAACAAATAAAATGTTTCTTTTTTTATTTATACCTACATTTTATTTGCTCTTGGAGTAAAATTCTTGAAAAACTGCACATTTTTGTAGCAATGTGTTCGAATGTCTTCTTGTCCTGCTTTATTCCTTCCATTTAGGTGACATCTCGTAATGCAGACACAGCAACAGAAACAGCCAATAGGAACCAGGCCTTCTTACTGGGTTTATCAAGAATCTTGAGACCGGAAGCACAGTTAATAGGTCAAATCAGAACCAAGTGAAAAAAGAAAGAGCTTTAGAAAATAATTTTAAAAAATGTTTTCAACAAGAGAGTACACAAGCTTCATAAGGTTAAGGGTTATTAACCCTTATTGATTAAGGGCTGGTACAAATTTAATGATTATGTGATTACTAAGTGTTTCTAAGGACATAAACAATTTAAAATGAGTTTTATGAAATGATATGTAGTTGCGTGATTAAAATGCGTCGCGATTTACGTTGAGTTGAATGTTATTTCTAAGTTTTAGAGCTGAACAATACTTAGGTCTAACCTGGCATGAAGACGGTTGGTGGATACGAACGTGTTTACAGCTATAAAAGACCGATGACTCCTAAACTAGGTACCGTATTTTTCGGAATATAAGACACACCTGTGTATAAGACGCATCCTTATTTTGAAGACAAAGTTTTGGGGAAAGAAAAGCTACAGTCGCATTTGAATAATTTTTATTGAACAAAAATTCAGTTTGCTACTTTAAAAATTAGTATATATTGTTCTAAACACAAAAAGAGCTCAAAACATCAAAATAAGAAAATACCGTAAATAAAAAAAAGGTTTACTGTTATTTAGTTTGGTGCAAAACCTACAAAATCTTCATTGATTTCACTGTAATTTATCTTTTTATTATTTAGGGTTCATTATAAATAGTTATGTTTTTAAAAGAAAAAACTACTATTGTCATAAATAACACATTCAATTGAACTAAACTATGCATGCCTATTTAAATATATTTACACATGGCTTGTGTATATCGTATATATATACATATATATTATTCATACCTTCGGTGTACAGGACGCAAGTAGATTTTGGGGTAAAAAAGTGCGTCTTATACACCGAAAAATACGGTACTTCTTTTACTGTTCTGTATTTTTAGGTTTGGGTTAAATTTATCACCAGCCTCCACTTTATTAACAACTGCGAGCTGTCACTAATTGTCTAATAATTGTGTTTGTTCTTATTTGTCAAAGTATTTCTTTAAACGCTTTTGTTATATGTTTTTACCGCTATCAGTAATTCAGAACATCAAAGCTAAAACCGATGAGACGCATACACTTTTATCATTTTTTGTTGTTGTTGAAACCATGTGACGAAAATATGAACAAATGTTTCGCACCGGAAACACCACCTAGTGCGCCACCTAGTCTTTAGGAAGGAAGAGCTTTTCTTCCTTCTAGTTAAGGGTATCAAGTTCACTAATTGACAAAACCTAATCCTAGAACTTCTAGACAAGGGTATAATCAGCAGGTAAGTGAAGCAACTTGTTTTATTTGGCTACAATTTAATCTTCTAACTTTAAATAGCTTTCCTTCTAAATGGACTTTTTTTAAAAACCGAACCAAATATTATTATTGTCATGTCGTATGAAAAGTATACGTAGAAAAACGAACAAAGTTTAACTTGAATTACACAAAATAAAGGTATAAGTATGTAACATACAGGAAGATTGAAGGAGGAGCAAAAGTTTTCAAGTATAATTATCAGTAACTTGAGGATAAATTACAGTTAGAAGTCTTCAGACTTTTAGTTTTAAGAAAACCAAATATGTGGATTAAAAACTCACAGAGAATGACGTATCAGATTTAAAGAAGTGTATTAAAAGAACAAAACTCAGTCAACAATGGTAAAATGTTGACCAACAAAATCTAGTCACCATTGTAACAATGATTCAAAACAGGGCGTTTTTAATTTTAGTCAGCTTTTCAGGAGGCTTCCATACATCAACTTTCCGTATGCGCTAAATATCATGATTAATAAGTTTATATGTAGTTAATCACAAAGCTACACAATGGGCTATCTGTGTTCTTCTCACCACGAGTATCCAAACCCGGTTTCTAGCGTTGCTAGTCCGCAGACATACCGCTGTGTCACTGGGGGGGGGGGCATTATTAATAAAGCAAAATATTATGTCCCAATTGGAAATTTGAAGCTTTTACTTGCAAGGGCTAAAGCTGAGGTAATAAAATAAAATGGTTACTCGCAACGTTTAAACACTGTATAAAATAAATGCTATATACATTTTCATACGGTTGTTTGGATGTATTAGTAGATTAAATCAAAACACAACATTAATTCATTTTCAACTGAAAATCTTATAGAAACTTATGAATGCAAAAGAAGACATTCTAATTTATTTTTAATTAACTTGCTTAAGCACGAGGACATTATTCATCCAACTGCATGTTGTCTAACTTGTTGGACTATTTTAGTGTATTTTAATACTTTCGTTTCGAATCACGAGTGACGTTTGTGTATATATTTTTATATATATATAACGGCTTATTTTAAATTGTATTTCAGTTTAAACGTCGCATGACATAGAATATTATGTACAATATTTTAACTTATGGGGGAAAAATACTTTGTGGATAACCAAAGCGCATTCAATGTTTGTTGCTAAAATAATTTTTGGGATGCACAGTGGAAAGTCTGAAGGATTATAACTTTAATATCCAGGGTTAGATTCCCTGCGGTCGACACAATAGATATTGCAATGTGCCGTTGCTTTAGAAAACAAACAAACAAAGATTTATGACAAAAATCGATACCTTGAGCTATGACATACTTTTAGTTTGTTTGTAGGTAATCACAAAGCTACACAATGGGCTAT